GGGGACGGCGGGGGACACGGGGATGGCAGAGGGGACGGGAGTGGACACGGGGACGGTGGGGGACACGGGGACGGCAGAGGGGATGGCGGGGGACACGGGGATGGCAGAGGGGACGGCGGGGGACATGGGGACGGCAGAGGGGACGGAGATGGCAGAGGGGACGGGAGTGGACACGGGGACGGTGGGGGACATGGGGATGGCAGAGGGGACGGCGGGGGACACGGGGACGGCGGGGGACACGGGGGAACTGCAGACCGGCCGGGCCTGCTCTCTAACAGCCCGGCAGACGTGGACACAGGCACAGACGAGTTGCACTTGCCGACATCGGACACAGAGCCCTGAGAAGACGGGGGAGGACATGGAGGTGGCCCCTGGGACACTGCTCTCGAGGAGCCGGTGACCCTTCTCCGGGGAGCGCGGTGGTCCGTCCATGGTGGGCTGAGCATGCAGGACCGAAGCCGAGGTCCTGGCCCCATGAAGGGACTGTCCCGGATCACTGTGGTGACGGAACCCGCATGAGGCTGGTCCCCAGGCAGCAGCATGGAGTCCCCTGGATGACTAAACCCTGGGGGCCCCTCAGTGCCTTCCTGCCCCCCACCCGCCATGCCATCTGGGGCCCAGAGGCATTTTCCCTGGGGGCTCACGCCCTATGAACCTGGAAACGCAGCCAGAAAGCACAGTTCACGGAGGGAAGGTCCCGTGATTTCTCACAGTTACTCCGCGCGGCACCGAGTACAAACGTCTCAGACAGCGGACCAGAGACCACTTGGACATCAGCATGAGCTGCACAGGATGGTGAAAATATGTGATATACAAGGATATGTCTTCTCCCAAATAATGCGGATGCCCCATCAGAAAACGTGTGAGAAACTCCGTGTGAAGAGTTAGAAAGCCTCGCACGTTAATTCAGACATTACAGAGGTTGTGCTAATAAGCACGCAGTCCACGCTTCACTGGGTGTTGGGGGGACACGGAGGTAGATAAACCCCTCACCACGTCACTAGGCTGTGACCAGGGTCCGTCTGGCACTGAATTGTGGATGAAACACAACCTTATACATACCCGGTGTAATATATACGAACACTGGACACACGGTTGTGTACGCGTGTACAGTGTTCATTTCATCCGCACACAAAGTGCCAGGGGCCCCCGGGGTCGGGCCTTTCGGATGGTGGCAGGTAAGGCTGAGCCCCCGGGGGGCAGAGCTGGGGAGGCCCGGGGCTCGGGGCCACAGAAGGTGCTCAGGATGGAAGTGTCCCATTTGGTACACAGTGAGGAGGAGGAGGAGGAGGGGGCCACCTGGGAGTCACCAGACAGACGCAGGGACCTGCTTCTCGGTTCTGCACAAGCGCCCGGCGGGGACGGAGTGTCAGCGTCAGGCGCGAATGGGAAGTTGCGCACATTCGATGTCAGTGGCAAACCGGCTTTAAACATTCCAGTGAGGTGATGATGTCGGGGCTCCATTTTCACAACTGTGACCCCCTCCCCCCAGTAATCTACTGGGGGCGGACGGGCTGGGAGGAGGCGGATGGGCTGAGAGACAGACGGTGGACCTGGGGTGACTTGTTGCTGGGGCTCCCTACTTTTGTATGTTTAAAATCAGATCTTAATTCAGGCCTCATATAAGTTCGACATTTCCCATAATAAGGGAGTTTTCCGAAGACAGACCGTCACTCCACAGAAACCCATGCAGTCCCTGAAGGCATGCGGCGAAGGGACCACGGGCTGCCCCCACCCGGCCCGAGGCCCCACCCAGAACCATCCCTGAATCCACAGGCCAACACGGCCCCCTCGTGCTCGGAGACCGGGCCACACGCATCCACCGCTCTGGCTTGTTTCCCGTTTGCAAAACGCCGTGGCTGGCCACCAGTCTGACGAAATGACTTGGTGACACGCCTCGCTCACGGCTCACGTTTTCTCTGCAGGGCTTCCGGCGTCTTTGGAGAGACCCATGACTAATGCCACCTGTGTCTTGTCCCCAGCTTGTCGGGATGCCCGCGAGCCACGTCAGCCATGAAGAAGGCGAAGCTGTCGGGAGAGCAGATGCTGACCATCCGACAGCGGGCCAGCAACGGTAACCCCTCCCATGGGCTGCCCGGGGGCAGGCGCCACGGCCCGGCTCCGCGTGCTCGGGCGTGACCACAGCCCCAGACAGTCACAGCGCCTCTGCCCGAGTGGGATAGTTCTGGCCGCATCTAAGAAGCCAGTTGATTCGGCTGGGGTGGGGGGAGCAGAGCCAAACCCGCCCCTTGCGGGCTCACTAACGGTCCCAGCAGTTTGCCCCGCTGTGCCTCTGCCTCAAGACCCCTGGAGGGGCCAGGTCAGGGGCAGCCACCCTCCTGCCCCTTCTACGCTGAGCCTCCCAGCCGGCCCGCCATCCGCCTGCAAGGACCTTGGGGCGCCGCAGCCGGGAGTGCAGGGGCCCCGCGGGAGGGAGGGCCGTGGAACCAGCCCAGCCTCCCCATGATTCAGCGTCATCCTTCATTCACGCCGTTGGTGCAGAACCGCAAAGGCGCGGTGCTGGCGTGGCGCTGGGGTGTGGCGGAGCGGGACAGGTGTGGGTCTGCAGGCTCAGGGTCAAGGCCATGCTCATCCTGTACAGAGGGTCCTCTTCATAGTCTCCTTAGGGGGGCATTTTCAAAATTGTTGAGCCTTTCGTTGGTTTGTTGGGAAGGTGCGGTGCAGGCGAGCGCTCCGTGCACGAGGGTTGTGACGCGTGTGTGTGAGGTGAGCGCCGTCCACGCCGGGTCGTGTGCCGTTGGCCGTGAGGTCAGGGCCAGTGAACCAACAATGTGCATCAAGGTGTCTTGAAGCAGAAACGTGCATGAAACGAGCTTCCGCCTGACGTGTTGCTGCAACGGGGCCGCGCTCGCAGCCTCCGACCCTGTACCTGCCCTGGACGGCTGACGCGGTGTTGGGGGGACTGGGAACAGCACGGCTGGGGGGGTGACAGCTCCTGGGATTTGCAGCCACTCAGCAAACTGTCACCATGGAGAGCAGGAGCCGGGCCCCTCCTCGGAGGACTCTGTGGCAAGGGGCGGGGCAGTGACCCCTGAAGCTGGCACCGCCTTCGTTTTGGGCTCCTCTGAGCAGCAGCGAGCAGTGCGGGATGGGGGTCACCCTGAGCCAAGTCCCTGCGCCCATCTCTGGAGCTGCAGTCCCGGGCACCGGCCGCCTCTGTCAGGGCTCTACCTGAGGCTGCCGCCCCCCACCCACGCCAGGGGCCCAAGGGTCCTGACACCAGCTCCAGGGCAGACGCGGGCCGCCTGCACTGAACGCACAGCCGTCACCGACGCCGATGGGAAGAAGGCTCTGGCTCTGGCCTCCCCTTCTGCAGGACACACGCTCGGGGCCACAGGCACGGAGCTCAAGTGTGTGGAACACTGACCCCCAGAGCCTCAGGGACCACAAGGCCACCGGCGGGCCCGAGGCCGCGTGGGGAGGTCACGGGAGGTGCCAGGCCGCTGCTGTCACACCTCTTACCCGCGATAGCAGTGCCGACCGCCAGGAAGAAACCGCCACTGCCACCCTCGCCGAAATACTCAGCGTGACCTGTCCCCAGACACCCTGGTGGTCAAGCAACCACCTCCTGCCCATGGGTCCCCCTGCAACGGTCCACACCCATCGGCGAAGGAGGCAGCAGCGAGCAGGTGGTCAGTGCAGAGAAGGAAAGGAAAGAAAACAGACCCGAGAAGGGGCTGTGCTCAGCGTTGGGAGCAGGCGTCTCCGGGCGTCGGGAGGCCCTCTCGTGCCGAGGGACAGGAGGTTGAGAATCCCGTGTGCGAGCGCCAGGCCAGGAAGAGCCAGCGCGGTCGCAGAGGCGGGAGCGAGCGGTCAGTGCGCCTCCCGGAAGTGCCAAGGCCAGCCTCAGGCTGCAGGACAGGTGATCGCACAAGGTCACCCACTTCCTCGCACTGAGGACCCAAGTGCTGGGCCATGGGTGGGGCCTCCGTGCGGGTCACCACATGGCACGGTGCTGGGACACATTCTGCCATGCTTACCCCCAGATGAGGAGGCTCAGGTCCTGAGCCATGAGGGGCAGGCGCTGGACCGACCCGGGTCCTCCTGAGCCTGAGTTTCTCGTCTTTCTGGACATTATTCATGCCGGGACCAGAGTGACTTCCCCCAACACTCCTCTCGGTGCAGAGGCTGTGGGTGGGGCGCGGAGGGTCAGGCGTCACCCTGAGTGGCTGACTCAAGGGCAAGCACGGGGGAACCGCGCTGCCGCTCCCCGGGGATGGGGGAGAACTCTCCGCTCTACAGTGACGGCGCCCAGCCCTCCGAGTGCAGAGACCTGGTCGTGGCATCGCCGGCTGGTACACGCAGGGCACCGTCTCTCTGTCTCTCTTCCTGAATATCTTGAGTACGACCTCACCTGCCATTGCTCTTACACCTCCGTGGGTGAGGAGTCCAGAAGCTTCCCTCCCTCCCACACCTGGCTCTTCTGTGAGCACTAAGGCCTCAAGCAGGCCACCGAGATTCCAGCATCTTCCATCAAGTGTTCACCTGCATAGAAAGGAGCTGTTCTAAGTGTGCTTGAAGCTCCCTTCCGGCTCTGAAAGCCCCGACCCTCCCTCCCTCTCCTCCTCCCTTCTTTCCTTCTCCTCTTCCTCCTCTTCCTCCTCTTCCTCCTCTTCCTCCCCCTCACCCCTTCTCCTTTTCCTTCTTTTTTTTTTCAAACTTAAAGGGTTTGCTCGTCCCTGTCCCCACAAGGTCGCCGTGATTTGTCTCCCAGAATGGCTCTCAAAGCAGCGGGAGGTGTGGCATCTGCCCAGACCCCTCTGCAGAGCCCCTCCCCCGCAGCCCCACTGTCCCTGCCTTTGTTTTGCTCTCTTGTCGCTGTTGTTGGGTCTTTGTGGGTGTCCTGCCAAAGACAGAAGGAAATGAGGCAGCCCTCCTCCGTCCTCCCTGGTTGTCACAGGAGCCAGGCGGCGGCGGGAAGGGGCTCTGCCTCCCCGCTGCCCACGGCAGGCGCTGACATACGCTTCGCTCCAGCTCAGCCTCCCTGGAGACGAGGACCCGGCCGGGCTGTGGCTGCCCCAAGACAGGGACAATGAGCCACCTCCCCACCGCACCCCGGGTCACGCTCTCCCCTCCAGAAGCTGGCACTGCCCCGTGCCCTGGGCCCTCAGGGATGCCGTAGGGGCAGACGCACACGAAGGGCTTTAGGAAATTTGTTTGCAGACACTGGAATTCTCTGGACTGTCTCCTGAGCCCAGAAGATCCCGTCCACCTTCTGCTGGGCTCTGGGGGCGTTTCCCAGGAGCCCAGGGGGCGGGGGTGGGGCGGCAGCCAAGCGCACAGGACAGGCACAGCGGGCGCTCTGTCGTGTTTCACGGACGCAAAAGCACTAACGGTCATCCGTCCGTCCATGCATCCTGCGCTCCTAGAAGAAAACTCAGAGATGGGAAGGTCAGCACGGCGCCCTCTGCTATATTTTTACTGGACTTAACATGATATGACTTCTGTCAGAAAGTGGATCTGACCTGCAGACCCCTCTGGCAGTGACCTGATCTGCAGCTTGGTTTGAGTAGCGGCCATCTCTCATAAGTCTTATGCACTAAACACTTTGGTCCAAGGCTTTCATGGGCATAAATTTAAAGCACTCCACAGCATACAATTTCAATATATATTGAAAATATATATATTTGGAAAGTATCTAAACTTACAGTAAAAAAATTTGGATGACCAATTAAAGACTTACAAAAAGGAATTTTTGTTTTTAATTCTTCAGTTCAACAGAAATTGAAGTCCACTGCGCTAGACCGCATACCGTATTTGTGCTTTCTTTTCCTTTTAATTACTCGTCAGCTCGCAGCACTGAGTCAGCAGGAAAAACCAGTCTCTGTCGCTTTTCAGGCCGCGGACAGCTGAGCGTGGAGACCAGGACGCTCTGGCTGGTGGCCGTTGGCTTCTCAAGGGACACCTAGTATTGAGCCACTTTCTTTAGCTCCCACTTTTCAAGTCTCACTGAGTCGGGTATTTTATGGATTAATTTACCTCTTAACAACCACTGTGTCACAGAGGGACCATTTTTGCCATAGAGGAATTTAAAGTTTAGGACTAAAAAAACTACTCCTCACAAAACTCTTATGAGGGAAGATTTGGATTTAGATGTCGGTCTGTCATGTTTCAAAACTCAGGCTCTACAGCCCCGACTCGTCGACCCCTCAGCAGGGCGGTTCGCAGATGCACCCGCGTCCGGGAAATGTCCCAGGTCGCCGGTCTCTGCAGCTGCCTGGGTGTGGGTAAATAGAAAGTACTAATTGTTGGATGCTCTTTCATTAAGAACTCCAAGCAGTAAAATACCCCCCACCCGGGTTTCACCCGTATTCCAGAGACCCCACATTCTCTCCTTAGAGCTTTATCAAAACTGTTCTAAGCTTTCATTTGCTAGAATCCAGCCCCAAGACAAAGATGTTGACATGTCAGGGTGTTTTATGAGCCTCAGTTTATACTGGGTACCATTGACGGGGCACCTCCCACAAGCCGGTTCAGACGATTTCACTGCAGTTTTCCTCACAGTTCTCTGGGCGCTGTGCTAGTGCGGCGATCTTCAGCCCGCCCGACCTGAGGTGAGGTGTTTTGGTCACAGCTGCACTCTGACAGCGGAAATGTCCTATCTTGATGTTGGGAACAGGCAGGTGCATGGAGCATTCTTTTCTTATCAAGAATTATCCAGAATCAGATGTCGTGATCAAACAGCCCTGCGGGTCCCCAGAGGACGGGTCCCTAAGAAGAGCTACGCCAGCCCTTCCCACGCAGGCTCCACCGCAAAACAGTCGGGTCTCCTCTCTGACGCCGTTAGCCGCCATATATAAATAAGGAACTAGACTTTTTATTTAATGTCTAAGAGAAAGCAGTTCTTTGGCTTCCTGGTCGCTCTTCCTTTGCACGCTGCACTCACACAGGACAGAGAGGCTGGGAACCATTACCAGACCGGCTTGGGGAGGACCACCTCCTTCCCTGCAAGCACCAGAGAGAAGCCCTTTCCAATGAATGATGGTGTCTTTCAGAAGTCACCTGAATCTGGACAAGCCAGACCTCAGGGGTCCGGAGAAAACAGGAAGGTTCCCGGTGCCTCTTAGAAACAGAGATCACACCTCACCCTGGTGCAGTTTTTGTGATCAACAGAAACTATGACATACGGCTGGAAAAAGTGAAACGTTAAGTTTGTTCAGACCTGAAAAACTGAAGAAATATGACACGAAGCACTTGCTCTTAAGAGAAATTCACGTGGTAAATCCACCCGGCTCCGGCACAGGCGTGGAGGGGCCACCAGCACGCACGTCCCGACTGCCGTCCGTGCGAGAGACGTTCTCTGCGCGCCTGGGCTGCCGGCGTGGCCAGTCTTTGTTGAAGGGTAGACTCGTCATAACCCAGCCGCTTCAGGATTCTCCAGGATTCTTACGCACTGGTGTTCTTCGGTCGCTCGAGGCGCATCTGAACTTGTACGGAAACAAGTCATCGGCCGCCTCCGGGACGGAGCCCTCCTGTGTGCCCAGGATCCCATGCAGTGACTCAGTCGGCCTAGTTCCTAACTGAGAAAGTTGCCAAGGAAGTCTGATCACAGATAAAAAAGGGAGAAACCTAACAGATTCCCGATTTGCTGGAAGGATTTCCTCCTAGATCCGTGAACGGCATGGGAGGGCGACGGGGCTTTGCGGGAGATGTTCTGGACCCTGTACGATGTGCCAGAGACACCTGCTGAGGCCTGTGTGGCAGGGCCGTGGTCAGCAGGCCACAGCTGGTCCCTCTCGGGGGTGGGCCCTCTGCGGGTTTAAGATCGCTTGTTTACAGTTTAGCCCCCAGGGCGGGTGGAGAGGAGACTGGAAAGGAAGGGTAGTGAGCCCACAAATCAAGCTGAGCGCGCACTCCCCTGCTGCACGGAGGGAAGGCGGTGTCTCCCAAGACGTGTGCGTGTGGTTCGCGTCGGGAAGGCTGCCTACTCCTCCCAACGTCCGCTTTCTTTTCCATTTCACTGAAAACAACCGAGACGCAACACCGTGGATCCCACACTCGGACATGTCGGTGGGGAGGCCCTGACTCAGCCGGCCTCCCCAGGGGCAGGTGTCCCCAGCCTTCCCTCCCAGGGGGGCTGTGCCCTTCTGCCTGCAGACCCCGAGAAGGGCGTCCGTCTTGGCCCCCAAGGCCCGGGCTGCGCGCTGGTCTGAGTGTTAGGTCCGCCTCCGCTGCTGTGCCGTGTGACCGAGGGGTGGCAGTCCCGAGTCCTGGGCTGTCAGGGTGAGGGTCTTTGCAGGATTCCTGCTCTTCTTGCCCTGATTACATTCAGCCTCGAGAGACCCAAAGGCCAGAACAAAAAAGGGTCTGGATCTTTCTGCCCTGGCACCTTCCACTGCCAGCAGGCGTCCAACTGAGCTGGTGCTGGAAACTCGGCCCAGGCGCCTCCAAAGGCCGAAGCTGGCGGTCAGTCCCAGGGCACTTGGGGGGGGGGGTGCCGCCCCTACACCCGTCCCCCGACTGCCGCAGCGGCCCCATCGGCGGACACGTGTTTCCTAGCATTTTCTGGTTTGTGACAGTTACATGACCCGTGTGCAGAGGGCCCTTTGGGGACGACCCCTGCAGCCCCCCTTGGCCCCCGCAAGTCTTCTGGGAGGCGGCCTGGGGCCCCCACGTCAGCAGCTCTGTGGGGGCCTGGCCGGGGCGGGGACGCTGTGGGTCTCGTTTGCAGAGGTGTCTGTGGTGCGACAAGGGAGACGCTGAAAATGGGCTGAAGCGGGCAAAGCCGGCTCCAGCGGAGGCCACGGGCGGTTGTCCCCGAGGTGTCCCCCACCGTGGGGCGGGGTCTGCGCGCCTTGGTTGTAGGGATGGAATAACACACAAACTGGGACTATTCTTTAAATCCAAGAGAATATTTTTCCAGAAAATCCAGTTCCAAATATAAAAAGAACAAAGAAAACTCAAAACGGTAGCTCTGCCTGCACGCCCGATGCTTGAACGCGGCGCTGTCTGTCCTTATAGGCATAGAAAACGATGAAGAGATCAAACAGTTAGATGAAGAAATCAAGGAGCTCAATGAATCCAACTCCCAGATGGAAGCCGATATGATTAAACTCAGGACTCAGGTAACAGTTTTTGAAGCCCTCAATTTTAGCCACCGTGTGCTCTCGGGCCGGGGACCCACCAGCACTCCGGCCCAGGGACAGGCCAGCACTCAGCCTCGGGGACCTGGGGTGCGCCAGTGCTCAGGCCAGGGACACCTGCTCCCCTTCCCCTTCTCTGCCTGCTCCCCCTGATTTCATCCCGTGTCCCGATTATCTGCTGACACGGCTGTTTTGGTGGCTGAACCCCGGGTGCCCAGTGGCCGCCTGCCTCCGGCCCCAGCACGCGCGTTCGTGGGTGCCCCTTGCCAGCACTCCTCCCCAGAGGGTCTCCTGTTCCTGCACATGAGCTGCTTTCCTCCCGAGACACAGCAAGCCCTAATGCCCTGTGGTCACCGCCCGACCTAGGGAGACACCAAAATTCCCCGGAGAAGGGCAGCCTGGCCCAAGTCTTGCGAAAGGCCGCCTGTTCATGGGGTCCCAGGCCCAGGTGCACAGTGTCAGGAGGGAGGGAAGGAGCAGCAATTACTGAGCACCTACTGAATACCGGATTGCAGGGGTGCACTGAGTAGGACCGGAGTCCCATGGTCCACTCACGGGCCCTCCAGGTAAGTATCATCATTCTCATGTTACACACGCAGGGACTTGGCTAAGTCGAGGCCGATGGCTGATCTGCGGCCACTCAGAGCCCCGTCCCTGGGTCCATGTGGCACCCACATGGCACCCCAGGTGCCCTGCCACCTCTCTGAGAGCGCACTGGTACCAGTGCCACATGGGTGCTGCCGTCAGAACTGCGGTGAGGCACGTCCACCCGGGGGAAGCCAGGCTGCAGCCCCCTCCCTGCGGATCCCAAGCCGCCCAAGTGTGGCTGGTGTAGGCCCGGCCTGGGGACCCCAGCTGGCGGCCCCAGCTCTGCTGTGCGGCGGGCTGGCTCTGTCCGCATGGCACCGAGCCTCCAGGGAGGCTGTGTCCCCACCAGAACGCCCAGAGGGACCCCGTGGGTGCCCCTGAGTGGAGCACGAAGGGTGGGCGTCCTCTACCAAGCACGACCGTTCTGTCCAGCTGTTTCCACACCACCTGCTCGCCCACGGCAGCCTCGCCCGGGCTGCGCTCCGGTCGCCGGGTGGGAGATGGCCTCAGCAGCGACCCGCATGCGTGGCCGTGCACGGCCCCAGGCCAGAGGTCTGCAGGAGGGGACGGCCCCGGGGGGACTCTGTGGCCACAGCAGCACCGTGAGCCCGCACACCAACAGTGACTCATGTTACTGGGCCCAGTGAGAGCGCCTGCCCCAGCTAGTGTTCTGCCCCGGGCGTGCAAGCCTCCGCACCCATCGGCCCTGCTCACACTGGCATCCACACCCATTGGCCTTGCTTATACTTGTATCCACACCCATCGGCCCTGCTCACACTCGTATCCACACCCATTGGCCTTGCTTACACTTGTATCCGCACCCATCAGCCCTGCTCACACTTGCAATCCCGGGGACTCAGCATCCCCTGCCCATCCAGGGCCGTGACCTCAGCCCACTGGGCCACATTCTGACAAAACACACTCGTATCCCCGGGAAGGCCTCCTACCGTCCCACCTCCGTGCCTCGCTCTGCGGTGGAAACACTGCTTTCCCCTGCCTCTGCCCGCCAGACGGCGCCGTCACACGCTGGGAATGGGGCCTGGCAGCGGGAGCCAGAGCAGGGATGAGGGCCTGGCGCCGGGCCCCCGGACCCCAGCTCCCCGGGGGCACCCACGTTAGGAGCAGAGACAGGCCCTGTGCACACGGTTGTCTCACCCTCCCTCGTCATTTTCTGCCCATGTGGATTGCCACGTGCTTTCCCACCTCCCGTGTGAACTCGCACTCCTGGAGGCTTCTGTTTGCCTTCAAAAATGAATTTAAGGGATGATGTGTGTCCCACTGACCTGGCTGCCGCCCCTCTGGTGGCTCCTCTTCTCTGGAAGGCACGCCCATGATGGGGCCACGCTGAGCCAGAGTCCCTGAGGGTGCGCGGCAGGTCAGGTGAATGACTCGGGCAGTCGGCCACGCAGACCGCACACGGCGGGCCACGCAGGCAGCAGCCTGAACCTGGTGTCCCTCGTAGGAAAGCATGCGTGCTCTTTCCTGGCAGCCTCCCGCCCCAGCCAGTGCTCGGGGACAGATAGGCCATGGCCACAGGAGCCCTGCTACCCATCAGCCTCTGGGCGCCTTCAACTTCTAACCTTTGGCCAGGACACATTTAGCCTCCCAACCTTGTTTCAGAAAGTGCCAGAAGGTTGGTGGTCCTGCCGCTGGGTTTTCCACGTCCCCTGGCGCCCTCACTCCCTGTCAGTGACCAGAGGTGAGGGGACGCGGCCCAGCAGTCTGGGCGCAAGGACCACTGAGATGGCCGGCTCCCTGCTGCTCTCCCAGACCCGGCAAATCCCGGCCTGGGGCCCTGCCCGGGTGACTGGGAGGGACAGGACCGAGCCCCGCTGCTCCGGGCCCGGTGCTGACTCTTACTGTTCGTACACTGGGGCTGCGTAGGGGTCTTCAGTGTAGAGGGATGTCTGCTGCTTCCCATCACTTTATGAACGGCGGGTCTGACCCCAGCCTCTCCCGGGTCCCAGGCCCAGAACCTGGAAACCGAAAGTGGCACTCTCTCCATTTAAAATGGTCAGAACAGTATGAAGAATTACACGTTTGCAATATGCTCAAATCAGTGATTCTTAGTTATATTTATTTGGCTTATAAATCTTATTTTTCACTTACATCTCACCTAGATTTTGTATAACCACACGCAGCCCTTCCTGACGCCTCCCCATTCCGCCGTGGTGACTAGATGCTCCTCAAGCACTTAGAGAGGATGTGCTGTCCGATAGGGACACCCGTGTCCCTCTCCCCAAGGCAAGGACAGTGAGGGGACCCAGAGCACGAGGCGCATGGCCCGCAGAACCAGGCTGCGTGCGCTGCCCTCACCTCCAGCCCTGGGCCCCCCAACAGTGTGCAGACACCTTCTCCCACAGTTACCTTCTGCCTTCCTAATGCTGGGCTTTGCTGCAACCCTGGTTCCATACTTGGCTCCAGGATACTAGAGAGGACTCAGCGTCTGCCTCCTCCTCCCCCGGCCCCCAGAGCAGCGGAGAGCCCCACCCTCAGACAGCTGGGGCAGGAGGGCGGGGCCGGGGCAGGGGGGCGGGGTTAAGGAAGGAGGGCGGGGCCGGGGCAGGAGGGCGGGGCCCGGGGCGGGAGGGCGGGGGTTAAGGAAGGAGGGCGGGGCCCGGAGCGGGAGGGCGGGGGTTAAGGAAGGAGGGCGGGGCCGAGGCGGGAGGGCGGGGCCCGGGGCGCGAGGGCGGGGCCGGGGCGGGAGGGCAGAGCCTAGGGACGAGGGTTTGCCCAGCAGCCCGCCCTGCGGCGTCTCCAGGACGGTTGTGCGGCGGCTCACTCTGATTTGGCCCCTGAGCTGATGAGAGGTGCAGGAGCAACGGATGTATTCCTGGGGACCCTGCGCATGTCAGCAGGAGGCCCTCGTGGGCAGGTGTTTTCCGGGGTCCGCCCGCTACCCCGGCGGCAGCTGAAGCCCGCTTGGGCCCCCCTCTTGGCTGAGGAAGCACCTGCAGGCCAATGAGAGCAGGCAAGGGCTCCGTGAGGAGCGGGGGCAGAGTTTGAAGGGAGGGCCAGGTAACTCCGGGGCGAAGGCGGCTTTTCCGTGAGAACTGGGTTCGGGTCCCCGTTTTCCCGGGCCCTAACTGTGCCCTTGGTCGCCCGTGCGCCCTGCCTGCCTCGTCCTGGCTGTGTGCACCCCTGCAGCCCAGGCGGGGCGGGTCAGCTCCTGGCTGGGTCCGTGAGCGCTGGCTGTGGGCTGGAGCCGGGGCCCGTGGGGCACTAACGCCCTCGACCCCCTTCTTATTTAAGAGGAAGCCCAGGAGGCCCCGGGGGTGCAGGAAGGCGGTCATGCCTCCACAGGTACAGAGAACTCCTACCGCATACCACGGGGGGGCGGGGGGGCAGCCGTCGCCTGTGGAGGACAGGTGTCCAGTGGTACCTGTGGCCAGCCAGCCACCTGCCTCATGAGTAACTTTACAGTTTAGGACTTAACCTGGGACAGAGTTAGATTCAGGCTGGAAAGGACGAGCTGGCCCCAGGGGAGGGCGTGGAATACTTGCCAGAGAAGTCCTCGTGGGAGGGGCCGCGGTGACAGTCCTGCCCCCCGAGGACAGAGCTGCCCAGCCCATTAGCCCCTCCCGGGAAAGACAAGGTGTCGTAGCCCAGTTAGCAAATTTTCAAATGTAGTGCATCAAAAGCGTAAGAACTAGACCCTTAAAGTGACCGATGCTCACCGTCGAAGCGTTTCTGGGGGGAGCAGAAAGGTGCTCTCTGGGTGGGTGGGTTCCGGGGTCCCCCGCTGCCAGGGCACGCGCACCCTGCGGCCCACCTCGTGTTACATGTCCCACAAATCCGTGCGTTCTAGATCACCACAATGGAGAGCAGCCTGAAGACCATTGAAGAGGAGAACAAAGTAATCGAGCAGCAAAACGAGTCTCTCCTGCACGAGCTGGCCAACCTGAGCCAGTCCCTGATCCACAGCCTGGCCAACATCCAGCTGCCGCACATGGTAAGTGAGTGAGGGCGGGAGTGCAGGCCGGCGCCGCCGCGGGCTCTTTCTGTGCCTAAGCTCGTGGCTCTCCACACTTTGGATGTCTGCGCTCACCGCCCCCAAACCATAGCGTTAGCGGCTAGGAGCAGAGGTGGGGCAGATCCCGTGCACCCCTAAGATTAGGTGCGCTCTGAGCAGGCCTTGTAAGTAGCGCAGACACAGCGGCACTATGCTATGATGCTATTTTATGCTGATGTGAATATCCTATTAAGAAAGTAAAAGTTGTGTATGAACTACTATTTAATATCTCGTAGGATCCAATCAATGAACAAAATTTTGATGCATACGTGACTACTTTGACGGACATGTATACAAATCAAGATCGTTATCAGAGCCCAGAAAATAAAGCCCTACTGGAAAATATAAAGCAAGCTGTGAGAGGAATTCAGGTCTGAGCAGCTGCTGTAGGTGACGGGATCTTGTTTAAAAGGAGGCCTCTTGTTTTTTGCTGCTGTGATTTACCAGAAAGTGTTCTATATTTATTTCTGTTTGAAACAGTGTTATGCTTACAAGACTTCATAATGATTTTATGTCTTGCTTTAAAGATAGTACCTGCAGAATAGTTTTTCAATACATTCACATTTTGTACGTTTTCATATAAGCTGACATAGTGTGATATGCCATGTAATGTTTATAGCTGCTAATGTATGCACATTTGGGGGTATATATATTTCTGAAGAGGTAAGCTGATCAAAATAAATAGAGTGTAAATTCTTTTTAATGCTTTAGTGATTAAATGTTTTAGTATTTTGAACTGAAATGGACAAAAAAAAAAAAACCCAGCTTTGAATGACCACGTGGTGGCCCCGCAGCCACTTTTTAGACATTATCATTTTGCCTCATGTTGGAGGATTTTATGGAATTTAAGAAATACATTTTGTGTGCATATTGTTTCATAGCAAGAATTGGTTGCAAAAAAAATGCTTTATTTTTGAACAATGCTTGGAAATATTATGTGATTTTTTTGTTTGTTTGTTTTAGGAGGATGGTGTATGGTGGGGGCAATAAATGAGGTTTTTTGCATTCCAAGGAAATGGCATATGGATTAACTGTAAGAAATGAGATAAGTAATTTATTGTAAGAGAACATCAAGCCATGGAAAACCTTGGCGGAAGATTCAAAGCAGCTTACGCAGCACTTTTAAATTAACTCCTGAGCATTCCATGGTGACTCTGGGAACTGCAGTTCAGACAGGGGCTTCTTAGAGGTGGACAGCGCGAAGATGTCCCTCTCCAGTGTCAGTAGACTTTGGAGCCTCCTTCCCTTACCTCCCCGAGAGCTGTGCCCCTCTGAAGCGTCTGTCGTGGCAATGGCGTCTGTCTCGCAGAACCTGTGTGCTCTGATTTAAGTTCAAAGATATTTTCAGAGTATTTATTTCCCCTTTTTCCACTTTTAGAAATTCTGTCGTTGTTGCTGTTATCACGACTTCACATTCGGGGAATAAGTCAAATGACACGTGAGCCCGCGAGCCACCGCAGGGCGCTTTCTGCTGGGCGGCAGAGCGCAGCTCAGCAGGACGCCTGACGCCCAGTGCTCGCCAACAGGCCTTTCTGTTCCACCTTCCCTTGGAGACCCGGCGACCACAGGGCATTTGCAGAGCCTTGCTCTTTGATTTGTCACAACCTATTCTAAGAATGAATGCAATCAGATTTTAAGAGTAATTACGTATACTTCAGCACTTTTTTGCTTTACACTAGATCATCCTAGACTTGCTTATACTTGGAGACTTGACTGTTTTCTTCCCGTGACTGCACTACATGATGCATAAGACCACTTTCGATTGCCGCGCCCTCCCCTTCTGAGTAGTCCCTAGGACGGCGTGTCGTGTCTTCTGGTGTTGACTTGAGTTACATGTAACAGCATCTCTTCCTTCCATGTCTTGATGTTATGCAGGAAGTACAGAAGTACTTTAAAATTTTGTTATGAAAAAAAAGATGGGTTTTGTAAAAATAAAAAAAATATTTTTAGCAGAACAGGACTTACAGGGTCATTGTCCCCACAACGTGCCAGTCGACTATTTGCACTTACCTTGTCCTATATATCCGTACGGAGGTGTGCAATTCCCGGGGTCAGCAGCCTGGCGAGGCCGGCCCTGGAAAGATGACAGGAGCCCTCACGGCTGACCCGACGATGTTGCTAAGGGAGATTACAGGGATCTCACAGCAAATACTGATACAATACTCAACCTCGGTATATATATATGTATAAATATATGTACACCCCCAGCGGCACTTTATACTGCGCACTGTACAAACGCTTACGGTTTTCCACGAGGACGATGCTAACGAGCTGGGAAAGGGGACGGCACCCCCGGGGTTCCGCGGCGCCCATCCCGGGGAGCGCCCTCTCTCCGCCCTGCGATTAGTTGTAGCTGCCGTGCTCAGAATTGCCTTCTCGAGAGCTGAAGCAAGGTGCTTCTCGTCACCCGATGCCATACACACGGTCGGGGCCCCGGGCTCCCGCGGGGCCCTGCTGTTCGTCTGGGCAAATGCATTTCCCTGCCGCGATGTGTCCACAGCTTCTTTGCCGATATAGTAATGCTTTTAGTAGAGTGATAGGTAGTATCAGTTCTGGGTTCTTCTCGTTATCACCTATGTACAATGGAAGGGGTTTTAAGCACAAATCTGCTGCTCATCTAACGTGGGTAATAATATCAAATCAAGAGTTATCTGTGACTATTCTATAGGGATCACAAAGTGTCACATATTAGAATGCTGACCTTTCATACGGAATTATTGTGAGTCATCAGAGTTTATTTATTATAACTTATTGTTCGTATTCATTTCTGAGTTAATTTAAGGAATCATTTATGAAGACAGAATTTTGTATGAATATTTACTGTGCTCTCTGTGGAACTGAAGTTTGATTTATTTTTGTACAACACGGCATGGGTGTGTTGACACTTTAATTTTGCTATAAATGTGTGGAATCACAAGTTGCAGTGATACTTCATTTTTAAATTGTGAACTTTGTACAAATTTTGTCATGCTGGATGTTAACACATCTTACTCTAAATAAAAAAGGTGTTGCCACATTTGTAGCACGATGGATCTCTAACCAGGGTCCGCGTCTTCACTCGAGTCTGGAAGCGGCGTCTGGGCCCGCGGGGAGCCTGTGCGCCCAGAGCCCGCGGCTCCAGTTATGGCGTCTGTCAAGGGCCCAGAGTGGACGGCGTCCCAAGCTGTCCGTTTAGTGGAGGACGCCCCCCACCCCGACCCCCGCCCCTTGCTGCTGGGCAAAGTCACTCTGCCACATTCACCTCCGCTCCTGTCCTCACTCTTGTGAGGTCATGTCACGCCTCCCGGAACAGGGACGGTGTCCCACACGAGCACAGCACGGTTACTGCACGCGGCACGACGTCCCCTCACACCCATGTCCAAGTCCCAGCCGAGCTGAACACTCTCCCTCATCCGACACCCTGGGGGATGCAGCCGGCTCGGGGTCTGACCGCCGTCTTCCTGCGCGGTCCTGGGCCGCCCTCTGCCCCCTGGGCAGGGACGGAAGTGAAGCGTCCAGGGCGGTGGGTTTGCTGACTCTGCCGGGGTTGGCTCGGCCTGGAGGCCACGTCCCAACGGCTCAGGTGCTCTGAGCGATGGCCCGTGCGCCCCTGCAGCTCACTTCCGAGAGCACACGTGTCCCCCCGTGATTGGTCCTGGTGCTCTGTCACCCTCTGTCACTTCCAAACTCTCTGCAGGGACCACCCGTAAGCCTGAGGGTTCCCTTCACATGTGACATGTCAATGAACTACCTCCTTTGCCTGCATCTGTGCTGGTAAAATTCCAGAAACACCCTCCCGTAATAGACCAAGTTCCCCAAGTATAACATTGGGGCAGAGGCCGGGTGATCGTTGGTAAAGCCAAACTCTGTGTCCCCAAGCGTCAAGGCCACCAGAGCCCCCGGCCAACTGGCGCTGTCTGAGATCTCACAGGTCACCGCTGGCCAGCTTGATGGAGCGCCAGGGACAGGAGGGAGGGTCTCCCTCAGGCGGCAGGTGCAGCTTGATCAAAGGCCCTGCCCGAGGACCTAATGAGGTTGACGCAGAAGGTGGCGCATCGGAGAGCCACTGTAGTGACTTAGGTCTGTCATCTTATCACCAGAAAGCCACTTCCTCTGAGGAGCCACGTGGCTGGGACTGTTACAACATTTTGGGACGCAGTGTAGCAATCACATCCTAGACCCTATAAAATTCAAATTTTTGGCCCAATAATTCCAGAAGCCTACCCTAAAATACCAAACAATTGCAATTATTGGTGCACTGAAATAAATGAAAATAACCTAGAAGTCCTATTTTGGAGAAACGGTTGAACAATTTATGATAAGTGCACTTTTTAGGACACCGCAGAGCGGCTGAACGTGGCTGACAGAGGCTCACGAGTGAGGCGTTTGTGATGCTGTAAGTGGGTAGTACAGGGAGTGGCTGGCCGCACCAGCTGGGGCCTGTCAAGGTGACCCTGGTGAGCCGCACCCCTACTCAGTGGTGGGGAGGGGCAGCCTCAGGGAGGGATGCGGAGGGGGACCCTGGGAGGTGAGGGAGAGCAAGTGCCCGGATTCAGGGTAAGGACGGGAAAGCCTGGAGGCCTGGAGGCAAAGCAGGAGAGTAGGGAGAGCTGTGGAGAGGGCCCTTCCTTCTCCGCCTCCTGTGTCTAAAGCGGGCCTGCTGAAGGGGCACAAACACCAAACAAAAATTTAAGTAAATTAATAATAAGCCTGAGTCTGGTGAGGGTCCTGGAAGGTTCTGGAGCTCTGGAAGGTGTCTGCACCACAGAACGCAGGGCAGAGGGGGAGGAGCTGGAGAGGCGGCTGGAGGAGAGGCCGCCGCAGGCCGGGCCCCTAGGGACCCCCCAGACCCCAGACGGAGCCCAGACTCCTGCTCATTCCCCGCCTGGACGCCCACTGTCCATTCCCCACCCTCGGGGACATTAGGAACCCCCGGCCCAAAGCGCAGTGGATGCACGGTGTTCCGGGCTCCCTCGCTCCCCCCTTTCCTCCAGGGTCCCTGGCAACAGGCATTCAACACAGCAGAGCAGAGGTGGGGCTGGGGGGCGGTTGGGGGCCAGGGTCTCCCCAGTAAGATTTAAAATACATGTGAAAGGGGGAAATCCAGCTTTTATACTTTGTCTTTATATTTCAATCACCATGACACCCAAATACGTTATGGATCACTGTACAGACTCTGAACAAAATGGAAAAACAACATAAACTCCAGCACGAAGCCAGCACTCACTCAGGTAAAACGACCTCTTTGCAAACTGACAAAGCAGACGTGTCCCCCACAACACACACTCCTGTCCCCCATCCAGGGCCCGAGCCTGGATGAGGCGGCCCGAGGGGACCTGGGCCGTGCGGGGCCTCCAGAACATGCTGGGACCCCGTCCTGCACAGCAGAGTCCTCTCTGGCCGCCGGCCCGGCCGTCCTGAGCCCGCCGCCCTCCACTCCTGCTCTACCCTGCTCGCCGCTGTCTTCCCGCGATCCTGCTCATGCCTGACGTCGCCTCAAATCCTGTTTTGAGCAAGACAACGTCAGAAAACAACGGAAGATAAACATTGCGGGGGCGGGGGGGGGGGGGGGGGGGGAGCTACATTAGCTGCCTCTGCAAGGAAAACATTAAAGAGAGAAAGGGACACACATCCGTTTAATGTGAGTTTCACAAGGCCCGGGAGCCCGAATGAGGACAGGAAGAAGCAAGATGAGTGACAGGCTGAGTCACGGGCACTGGGGGGACCGCGCTGAGCCCCCCGGCCTGGAGACGACAGGGCGAGCCTTCCCGCAGGGACGAGGTGGGCACCTCCCTGTGGGGCTGACCTGCTGGGGGGGCAGAGTCCTTCCTGAAACTGCTGTCCCCAAATTTCTCCAGCTTAAAGTACTCAATATGCCAGGGCGCCTGGGGGCTCAGTCGGTTGGGCATCCGACTCCGGCTCAGGTCATGATCTCACAGTTCGTGGGTTCGAGCCCCGCGTCGGGCTCTGTGCTGACAGCTCGGAGCCTGGAGCTGCTTCGGATTCTCTGTCTCCCTCTCTCTGCCCCTCCCCTGCTCACTCTCTGTCTCTCTCGCTCTCTCTCAAATAAGTACACTTTTAAAAACTAATAAAAATTTAAAAAAAATACTCTATGCCCAAGTGCCAGGTTCTGGGGTGGCAGGTTCTGAACCTCATCCTTATGCACAAACACAGGGGTGTGTGGGACGGGGTGAAAAAGACAGAACATTAATTTAACAGAAAACGGAAGGCAGAAGAGAACGGATGAGTCAGGGGAGGAGGAAGTACTTGTCGCTCTGCCCTTCGGGGTTCTGGGTTGGCGCCCCTGTAACACGACCGAGGGGCCGAGGCCGAGGAACGGGCAGAGCTGCCGTCCGCCTGGGAGACGCAGGGCAAGCGGCCCGGCCACAGGTGCCCGGAAACCGGGGCCCGGCGCCCCGCGGCCAGGCCCGAGCCGGGCGGGGCCTGAGGGACCGGGAAGCGGGGGCCCGGGGCCCGGGTGGCGGGCGGCGAGGAGCCCGGCGGCCCCTGCGGTGACTTCTGGGAACTACTTCCGGTTCGGCCAGAGGGCGCATGCGCTTCTCCTTCGTCTAAAGTCCTTGCTGCGACCCTTGCCGTCTTCCCTTTTGTTGCCAAATTGTCTAAAGGGCAGAAAGTGCCTGTTTTCTCAGTCAACCAAGGCGCTCAGCGGGCTCAGGGCACGTAGGCGGCGCTGTGGCCGCCAGAAGGAGAAGCCCACCCCTCCCCCGCGAAAATCCGTGCAAATTACTACCGGTGACGGTGCTTTTAAAAATAGGTGCGCCCCTAAAATTGTGTAAGTTGTACTGTAACTGTTTTCAGTGCGACAATTGAGACTCACACCTATGGAGGGAATTTGGCTGACAGATGACAAAAATATATGAGTTTATGGAATTTATTTGGATTATATTTAAAGGCCTAGTTCTCATTTCGAGGGGCACCTGGGTGGTTCAATGGGCTCCGCGTCTGACTTCAGCTCAGGTCATGATCTCGTGGTTTGTGAGTCCGAGCCCTGCCTCGGGCTGTGTGCTCAGCGCCCCGGAGCCGCTTCAAATCCTGTGTCTCCCTCTCTGCCCCTCTCCTGCTCACGCTCTCTCTCAAAAATACACATGAACAAAAACATTTTTTAAAAAAAGAAACACAAATTGTGGACGCCCTTCTCTGCACGACGACCATGGGCCTTGGCCCCCGCGAATCGGAGGCAACACCGCACAGCGACCGACCGTAAGGAAAGTACCCCAAGTTCCCAGAAGACCAGTCTACAATAATCACAGGCATTTTGCAATAATGAGGAATTTTCCCTTTTTATTTGACTATGGGTGACACACAACGTCCCTCTGTGCAAAAACGCTCAGATGACACAATTTGTAACTCATTTTTGGTTTGAGTTGGGGCAGGCAGAGAGATTTGGGAAAGTAATAGATCAGCTGAACAATTCTTTCCATTAAACCAAAGTGTATTCCTGGTCACTGAGGCACCAAAGGCACTGAAGAAGGTGCTAAATTAGCAACAGAAAGATCTAGAAAACAAGAGGCTGATTTTCATAGATGTTACCTCCACCCCTAAAGCTACGTCGTCTGGAACCAACTCCCACAGCTGCAGTGACGCCTCCCCTGAGCACGGCCCGGACCTCGGGTTCCACCTCTCCCAGCACCGGTGTGGGGGCCATGGGGGCGCCTGGACCGGCCTCCCGTCGTGGCTCCCCGGTGCCACTAGGGGCACGCGAGCCTTAGCTCCTCACCCAAATGTCACTGGTCATCCTGCTGCAGACGTTCCCAAAACTAATCCCATAGAATGTTGATTCCAAAATATTCTCAAATGCTTCAGGCTTCGCAGATGCACGTATGGAAGGTTAGCCCGTTGCCACGTTTTTAAGTTCTTTTATTCCTGCAGAATAAAAGGAGAGGCCCCCTCCGCTTTCCAGATCTAAAAGACCTTCCTTGGGGCACCTGGGGGGCTCAGTCGGTTGAGCGTCCGACTTCGGCTCAGGTCATGTTCTCACAGCTCATGAGTTCAAGCCCCACGTCAAGCTCTGTGCTGACAGCTCAGAGCCTAGAACCTGC